CTCTCTCTCTCTCTCTCTCTCTCTCTCTCTCTCTCTCTCTCTCTCTCTCTCTCTCTCTCTCTCTCTCTCTCTCTCTCTCTCTCTCTCTTTTAACTAAGCTATATGCTTCTCTCAATTATACTTCATACTGCCTGCCTACCTATATAGTATATACGTCTCAGCACCAGCCTCCATCCATGTCTAAGCGCCGTGGGGAACCTTACTAATGTTGAGCCTGATCTTCTTTCTCTGTGTCGGTCCAATTCTAATGGATGTCCAGAAGAACATAAACATGGATTTCTGAAATTCTGATTTAATTTTATGATTCAACCACCAGTACCTTTGTCGGTTCGAAAATACTCGGCCTCCGACCTTTCAGGAGGCTGAAATGAAACGACGGCCGCCAATCAGATTGATCAACGTCGGGCTTGGCCTCCTTAAAGTTTGGGTACTGGCCAGGACTTGTCGAAACCGGACGCCAAAGGTACTAGTGGTTACGCCAGAGTCTAAATTGCGGAGCGAGTTTGTTTTTGCACCTGAAGGAATGGATCCCAGAACCTTCCAGGCCGGTACATGGAAAGCATCACCTGCTATTGTATACGGCCTATAACTCTGGAGCCCGGGGTGCGTAGTAGAGGCTTGAGTACTTTTTTATCTTCTTGAGGATCTAATTCTTCTTGCTCACTATCTAGTCCCCGTCCCCCGTCCCTACTGCATGTTATATTTTTGGTATACTGCTATACTCTTTGTCTATCACTTTGTCTATTGCTTTATCCATTGCTTTGTCCATTGCTTTTATCTCCTGCTTTGTCTCTTGCTTTGTCTCTTGCTTTGTCTATTGCTTTGTCTATTGCTTTATCTCTTGCTTTATCTCTTGCTTTATCTATTTTTTTATCTATTGTTTTATTGTTTGCTTTGCTTATTGCTTTTTTTATTTTTTATTTTGCTTATTGCTTTATATATTGCTTTACCAATTGCCTTGTCTTTTGCTTCATTACAGGTGTAGTGGACACAAGTGGATGCTTTGTGATCATGCTTGAGGCAAGTGGTATTATCTTTCCTTTTCGATCTTATCTTTCCTTTTTTGGTCTCTTCTTTCCTTTTATGGTCTTATCTTTCCTTTTTTGGGCTGTCAAGCCTTTCAACAGATGCCTAATGACTCTGAATTTTGAAAGCAAGTCATCCAGGCCTTGAATAAAACCACTCATCATTGGACACTCACTTTCCTCTTTTCACCCTCTCCCCCCCCCCCCCCCCCCCTTCCCCATCGTTCCGAGGCGGGGGGGTTACCTTATTTCCAGGACTGACCCAGCAAAATGTTGGGGAGGCTGTGTACCCTACCCACCCTTCCTAGGCATGGGGGGGTACCTCATTTCAAGCCAGGCCCAGATTGTTGGGTACCCTAACCACACTTCGTGGCGTGGGGAAGGGGTATACCTTATTCCAGGCCTGGCCCGAAATGTTGCGTATCGTACCCACCCTTCGTAGGCACGGGGGGGGTATACCGTATGTCAGGCCTGACCCAGAATTTTGGGTACCCTAACCACATTTCCCAGCCGTTGGGGGGGGTACCTCCTTATTCCAGGCCTGGCCCGGCATGTTTTGTATGAATGTTGGGTACCTAGTACCCAACATTCCCAGGTGTGGTGGGGTACCTAATTCCAGGCCTGACACAGGTAATTGGGTGCATAACCCACCCTTCCCAGGCATGGGTTGGTACCTCATTCCAGGCCGGGCCCAGAATGTTGGGTACATTACGCATCATTCCCAGACCGGAGGGGGAACAGGGGGGGGGGTACCTTTTGGGTTAAAGAATATTGGGTACCTTAACATAACATTCGCAGGCGTGGGTACACCTGAACCCAGGCCTGGTCCAAGCGTACACGAGTCCTCTTTTTTTTGACCTTTACGGGCTTGCCCAATATTCCCAGAGAGCCTACTGGTTTTCAGTTCTGAGCTCATTTCCCAGACGCTTCCCTACCGTCTTCACCCGAATAAAACGCCCGGTCATTGTCGCTGCATCCGGTCTGAAAGTTGGCCCAAATACAGCCGTAATGACCGGGTGTTCTATTCGGGTAAAGACAGTAGGCCTTTTATGGACTTTGACCGAACCTATGACCAAGAGATTGACTCAGGGCCTGTTGAATTACCATACCGACTCTTCTCGAACCCTTTCGATATTTATCCTGGTCATCTCTTTGCCTCTGGATTCCAACTCCGCTCTGTATTTCATCAGTCCATGGGTGTATCACCTGAGCTAGGCCGACCCTGCTCAGTTCCTCTTTTCCTTCAATATATATATATATTTTTTCCAGTGTTTTCAACTTGTCACACTGTTACATACTTCAATGAGTATGGGCAGAACCAAAGATCAACCAATATAGGATGAGCATTTATGCAGCGGAAGTCTGATAACGAACTGACT